TTTTCATCCTCATTGGAAATAGAAGTGAAAGTTTTTGTATTGGAATATAGTTGATATATGATATTATATGGTTTCAGATGTAGCACATGAGGGATTCAATAATCGTACATTACTAAATGCTCACCACAGTACGTGCGGTTACCCCCTGCTACCATACCAAGATATTATAATATAATTGGTTATATTCTCTATGCTCTACTTCCATGCCTATGACTATTTCACAATTCGCAGCTTGTACCTCTTTATGTCAGTATTTATGGGCCTCTTTCTTTTTTGTTGGTTTCGTTTTTTAGATTCCACACAAAAGTAATACCATACAGTAGTTGTCTTTCTCTGTCTGACTTATTTCACTTAGTATGATACACTCTAGGTTTTTAATGTCATGCAGGTAGCAAATGATTGTCAAAATCTGAATCCTCTCCTAACCCTAAAGCCTGGTGGTTTAACCCCTATATATACCATCTCAAAGAAACTTTCAAACACCATCTGGACCATTAGACCAATTCCAAAAATGATCCATGACAGAGCTCAGTCAAATCTTAATTTATTGAGTACCCACAGGACAAATAGTACAGCAAATGGAAGCAAGAGAAATGAGGCCCAGTTCTTTACTTATTTCCATTTGAGGAGCAGAAAACAATACAGAATGAACGAACTTGTTCTGTTCCGCTTAGGTCTGATACTGAACAAGGCAGGCTGACTACGGTAGAAAGCACATAAAGCTCGGCAATGAGCTGGTCCTGCCAGAAATTAACCAGCAAATAAGGAACGTCTCTGAATTGTTTTTCACATCTGTGAAATGAGAGGAAAAAAACCATCTCTGAGGTGCTGTCCAGCCCTTTATGATAAGAAAAATAACTTTTGTTTTTTGAGTAGCTGCCTAGGCATTTTACAGTATGATAACCAGAGGCTGGACATTTAAATAAGGACTTGAGTTCAGCATGCTCACTCTAAGTCCCCTCTTTGCTGTTCCCCCACTTTGCTGTTCCTGGGCACCTTTTAAAATAGCCACCTAGAGTTAAGCCCACAAGAAGTTAGTTGCCTCCACCCAAACATCTTGTATGTAGCAGGCAGGAACTTGCTTCCCTGCTCCGTCTCTGGCTCTTTCGGATCTGGGATGAAGGACTGCCCTTCACCGGGCTCACTGCCCACCCCCTACCCTGCTTCTGGGACCTGGGACCCATCTTGTGACTTGACTTCCTTTGTGTGAGTGTATTGAAACTGTGCTTTCGATCAAAACAACCCCCCCACCCCCGGTTTCCACTTCCCCGGATGCTGAGGGGCTGTGCCCCCTCATTCAGCAGGTCCTAGTCTGTGCCTTCCTAATTCAACATGCTAGCTCCAGCTTCCCCACACACCCCTACCTTCTAACATTAGATCTTGGTCCTTTCAGCTGCCCTAATTCTTCTCATTGAAGAACTGATACATGGCGCAGGTTGTTGCGGGAAAATAAGGTCCACATAGGAACGTTTATAAATGAAAGAAGACAAAAACCACCTTTGGTGACCAGGAGAGGGCAGGACACAGGCATGCGCTGAGTGTGGGACGTGGAGGAGGAGGGCGCTCGGGAGGGTTTCTGGAAGATGTGTGGTCCTCCAGTTTCTGTTTTCAGTCTGTGTGCTGACTGCCTGCCTGCCTGCTCTGCATTGCTAATCTTTTGTCATCCGGCCAAATCCATAAATTCAGTAAGATAGGGAGGAAGCTTCTGCCCCACCTAAGGCCCACGCGTAGTCCACAGAAAACACCCCCTTCCTTTCTGTCCTCACTAGTCACCCCCACCCACATACACACTCACCCGCTTCCTTTCTGTATTGACCTGTGTGCACGTCCATGAGCGTCACCGTGGCAGGGGAAGACTTGGGAACGCTCCCCTCCTGGGTTGTTAGTGAGCCTAGACCATAAGCTCCACGGCAGCACCTGTGCTCTGCACACCGCGCTGGCCCTAGCACCTGGAGCGGTGCCAGACACGCAGCGGGCACTCAGTAGATATATAGATACACATATTTGCTAAAATCAACGACTCTGTTTCTACTCTGTCTCCTTACTAGACTAAAGGCTCTGCCCTGAGCAGACCATAAGCTCCATATAGGCAGGAGCACCTATTCCCGTTGTATTCCCATCACCTGGTAAAAGGTGTGAGACACACTAGCACAAAATACTTCGTTGGGGAAAGGTAGAACTGATCAAAGTCCAGCTGAATCTCCAGATGAAGACAGGAGTCAAAGATGTCTTATAAGCAAGAAGAATCCCAGAATTCATTTCCTAGATAGTAGGTAGTTCAGCCCATAATCTTGAAACAGAGTGTAATCTTATCCTTTGATGACTAGTTTGTAAAAACAAAATAGAAGGATGATTTGAAGTGAGTACACCATTGTCTGAATTCACCCCTGTCCCAGACCCTACCAAGAAATTCCAAACAGGAGGCAATGTGCCAGGCACAGAGCATCTTAAACAGAGGCTCTGCTGTGTTACAGAAGTAGGTGGTGGTAAAATTTAATTGCCCCTCAGGAACATCCTAGCAATGAAATTGCTATTGTAGATAAGGAAAATGTCTTCACACAAAAAAATTAAGAGAATCCGTAAATAGCCAAAATTTGTAAGACAGTTCGCTGGGTCGTCAAACACGCGATGTAAAACTCAACCGCCTTCTTAGACACCAGCCACGACCAACTTAACGTGTGATTTTTGAACAACCCTGTTAATTCTATTTACAGAAGATCTTGGAGTAGACCTTTCAAAATGCACAGAAACTTCACGAAGAAAAGCACGGCACTTTGACAAAGACATAAAAGGAGATATTCATAAATGAAGAGATGCAACATTTTTCAAGTGTCCAGGCTCTCCAGATTCATCTATAAGTTTATTGCAAATTTAACCAAAAGTCCTAACAGGATATTTTTGTTTTGTTTCATTTTGTCTTCAGAAAAGGCTCTTTTAAAAATACATGTGGAGGACAGGGATCCGGGCGATGCTGCGGTTGTGGCTGCGTCCACCCCACCGTTTCCTGGACTTGCCATTGGAATGAGGAGGGAGATGTCTAGGCTGGCATGTGCATACAGTGAGACAACGAATTTGACCGGATCTGTACTGTTGGAACTCAACCAGGAGTTGGGAGGGGTGCAAGTTGTAGCACTCCAAAATCTTATGATTATAGACTGTCTACGATTAAAAGAACATACGGGATGTGAACAGATCCCAGAAATGGGTTGCTTTAATTTGTCTGATTTCTCTCAGACTGTTCAAGTACAGTTGGACAATATCCATCATATCATAGACTAATTTTCACAAATGCCTAGGGGCCGCAGTTCTCAGGCCGCATCTCTCTCCAGCTCTCAGCAGCATCCCACACAGCTGGACACTCCTGCTTCCTGCACGTGTGCCTCACTGAATTTCTGAGCCCTCTTCTCAAAGTTTTCCCAGGCCCATGCTGGCCAACCTCTGTGCACTGCCGCTCTAATCTCCCTGTCCTTGAAGTGCTGGAGTCCTCAGGACCCTGTCCAAGGATCCCTCTTTTTTTGGCCGTATGTATCTTTGTATACAAGTTACATAATTTGCAGGGCCCAATGCAAAATGAAGTGCAGGCCCCTTGTTTGAAAATTACTAGGACTTCCAAGACAGTAACAGCAGAGCCTTAAAGCAAGCTCAGGCCTCTCCCAAGAGTGGGGCCCTGTGCACGGCACCATCACTCACCCTTGCAGCCCGGCCTGCTGAGGACTCCTGAATTTGTATCCCGGTTCTAGAGCACCCCCCAAACCCCAGGCTTATAAACCAACTCCCTTTAATCATCTCCATGCTGCCCTCTAGTAGGCACTTTAAAACCACCTTCCTGACCCTTCCCCGACACCCACAAAAGGGAACACCGTTCTTTCTGCAGTTTTCTCCTGCTAAATGGTACATTCTTCCAGTTTCTCAGTCCAAAACCCTCCGAGCCCTTTTCCAGTCTCCTCTTTTAAACCTCACATCCCAGCCGTGAGCGAAATGCTACTGGCTCTTCCTTCAAACATATGGAGAACGTGCCCACTCCCCGCCCCCACCTAGCACTGCCACAGGTACCATCTGGCACCTGGATTACTGCTGTTCCCTCCCCGCCGGTCGCCCTGCTTCACCCCTTGCTCTCCACAACCTCGTCTCAACCAATCAGCGCCCTGTGATCCTTTCACTCCTCAAATGAATTTGAAGGTGCCCTTACCTTCGCTCAAGTTTACAAAACATTGGTGTAAATTAACAAAAAAAAAAATTACCAACCAAAATAAAAAAAAAAAAAAAAAAAAAAAACAAAAAATTTTTTTATATGCCTGTTTCCTCAAAACCCCAAACCAGGAAGATTTCAATTGTACATCCTGTCCTTCCCCACAGGGAGGATCTCCCCAAACATTCTCGGGCAGAGCTGAAATGGTGAGAAATCTACTCATTTTTGAAGCTCCCGTAAGATCTTTGATCATCTAAGGGACCAGATAACCTGTCATGTATCATCATCACGTAACAGGCAGCTCAACACTGGTTTCCAAGTGAGGGGCTGGGGATGCCGCCTTTGAAGTGCCGGGGCGGCTCGGCTTTAAACGATAAGGTGCCCCGGCGCCCCGGCGGGCGCGCGAGGCCCGGGGGCCGCCGGGCGCGAGAACCACCCGTGCGCCGTTTGGCTCCCTGGGGCGCTGCCGCGAACACCGCCCGCGGCGAGAGGGAGACGGTCCCGGCGCCCGCCAGCGCGCGCCCGCCGCCACGGGGACGACGGGGCACCGCCGCCCGAGCCGCACCCGCCAGCCGCAGCCCCGCGGAGGCGCGGCCGGGTTTGCGCACAGGCGCGCACGCGCACAGGCGCACACGGACCCCCGCCCCGACCCCAGGCCCCGGACCGTGGCGGCTCGGGGGCGCAGAGGAGCCCGCGTCCCCCGGGGAGGACAGCAACAGGCGGGGGGCCGGGCGGCGGGCGGGGCGGAGTCACATCGCCGCCGCCCGCCCGGCCCCGCGCCGCCCCCGCCCCCGCCCCCGCCCCCGCTCACCAACGGACGAGCGGATCCTCGACCTCCGCGGCAGCGGCATCTTAAGCGCTCGGTCCAGGCCGGAGCCGGTCGGCATGTCGCCCCGGCTGGGCGCTCCGCGGCCCCGGGCGAGCGGCGGCGGCGGCGGCGGCGCGCAGGGCCGGCGGCCCCAGGGCCGTGAGGGGACGCGCTCCGCGGCCGACTGCGGGCTGCGCCGGGCGCGCGGCGTGGGAGCGGCGGCCGCCGCGGGAGGCTGCGCCGTCCGTGCCGCAGCGGCCGGCCAATGCGGCAGCGCTCGCGGACGCCACCGCCGCGGGCCGGCGGCCGGGCTGCGGGCTGGCGGGCGGGGCGGCCCCCGGCGGCGGACTCGGGAGCGTTTCCCCGGGCGGGGACCTTCGGGCGGCGGCGGTGGCGGGGCGTTGGGTCGGGGCTTTAGGGGGCGCCTGTGCCCGCCCCCGGGGTCCTGTTAACTGCTCCCTATTTTACCTGCCTGTCACTTGCCATGTGGTGTGAATCGCTCAGGACGCTTCGCCGCTTCTGTTCTTCCACGTCTAGTTTGGTGGGATCTCTGTAGGCCCTAAACAGGAACAGGAATTTCTAAGGTGTGAGATGTACGGCCTGGAACTGGGAGTAGTCCGGGGGCTTCAGCCCCCACAGCCTGCCTAGATTTCTTACTAGCGGCCTTTTAGGAGCCCTACGGAACACTTAGCACCCACCCCCACCCCCGCCACACACACACACACACACACACACACACACACACACGCACACACCTTCCACAGGAACAAAAATCATTGAGGTGAGGTGACTTATCCAAGGTCACTTGATCTATCTTTGATTAATTTTACTTGTCAGTTCATGTTGAATTGTGCTTTGCCGTTCTAGGCGCAGTTCCATAAAGGGGGGGGGGCGGGGGAGAAAGCTGAATCTTTTTAATATCTGATGAAATTCTGATCTCGGAGTAGAAAGAAAAAAACGGTCCAAGTAGGAATCTGAGAGTCTGACCCTGCATTTATTGATGGGATCATTGTGCTTCGGTTAACATATGCATTAGGGACCGACAAGAACAGAATTGAGCCCACAGAATAGGTGCCCCAGAAGACAGAGCCATGCAGCACCCCAAGCTCCTTTTGGCTAGCCTCTGCTACAGATTTTCTTAGGGAAAAATGCAGAAGGAATAGACAACTTGATTTGAAAACTATGCTGGCAGTTCTAGCTTCAAGTAAAATTCCTTACCTGTCTATCCTGGACCCTTAAAAAAAAAAAGTCCTGAAAAGACTCTTTCGCAGGAAGTTAAGGAAGAAATTTTCTGAACTGTTGAGCTGAGCTTCCGGATGGGAGATGTTTTCATAAGTGGGTCTGCAGAGGGGTGACCTTAAAGCTAGCTAATCCTAGCAAAGAGTTTGTCAAAAACTTTGTCGCTAATGATTCCGTAAATTTTCGGTCGATGATAAACCCTTGGATCTAAGCAGATCTGGAAAGGTCCTGAGTGAAAAATATGACTTTTTCAACCCCAAAGTTTAAAATAAACAGAAAACTTTTTTTTCCATAGTGAATGAGAACAGAAAGAGTAGAAGTTATATTTTTCAAGAAAGAAGCTGAAATTGTTAGAGAATGTGCCCTGACCTCCATAGACTGACCCAGTGTCCTACCCTGATTTCATGCAACCCCTTCATGAAATGAGGTTACTGCTTCTGTTTTCATGTTTATCTTCTAATAACCAAAAATGTCCTGGCAACTCTGTAAGATGTTCAGTTGGCACACCTTGGAGATCACAAAATAGATGCAAAATAGCCGTCTATGCTCATAGATGGCTCTCTCTCTCTTGAGCTTGTGTTATCTCAATGATTCCCATAGTGAAGTCCCCTGATCTGACTGGCTGGCTGGTATCTGTCTTGAGAAGCTAGATTAGGATGGCATTTAACCACAGAATACAGACATAAATCCTATCTTTGAGGTCTTTTGGGGATATATATATGCAAGATGGACAAAAGCTAGCAAATGACCAGTATTTAATACTAATTTTAGACTCGAATTGCCAACATGGATCGCTCATTAACCCATGCTTGACCTCTCAGAGAAATCCTTTCCTCCTTGCCAGAGGCTAGAACCAAAGAAGATGAGCTATAAAAAAGAAAAGCAAATGCAAAATACAGAGCAACAGAGAGAAATGTATTTTGTCTCTACTGTTAGGGAAGCAAGAATTTCTCAAGAAAGAGTTTGTCCCAGTTCCCTAAGAGTCACCACTCCAGGTGTTCTGAAGTCAGGTGACAGAAGCAGCCTGCAGAAGAAAGAATCCCTAAAGAGACAGTCCCAAGACACATACACACCGCGCCCCTAGCACTGTGAGTTGGTAAAAACTGAGCTAAGCCAGAGCAGCCCTTTCATTCCTAAAGAATGAAGTGGAAGGAAGAGGGGCTTAGAGTTTTCTCTTCCTGTAAGCCATCTGTCTCCTTCCTCTCTCACTGTTCTCTGCGCTTCCTTGCTAAGCAATAAAATCAGCCAAGACAGACCCACTCTCCTACAGAGTGGACACACGCTCTCATGGGCTGACTGCAGGAAGCCTGACCACTTTTCTCCAAGATTTCCAAGGAAGGATATCTCTACAACTTCTCTGGGAAGCCCATTCCAGTACACAAGAACCAGGATTTTCAAGCAGTTCTTCCTATGACATCTTAAATGTCTATTTTAAGCCCATTCTTCCTTCTTTAATCTTCATCGTTCTAGAGATAATCGGCTCCCCTCCTACTCAAGAAATTCTTTCATATAAATGAAGACTTTAAGCCATTTATCAACCCAGTCTTTTCCTCAAACTAAAACACCATTTCCTTTTTTAAATGTTTATGCATGTATCCATATATGTATACCTTTTATATATGTGCAAATACAGGTTTAGACACATTTTTTAAAAGGAACTGGTATATACACGGCATGTAAAAAGGTATAGGTAAGCATATGCCTATTATCCATATACCTGCCCCTAGCTGAGGGAGCAGAACAATACAGCACAGTGGAAGCCACTGACCCCCCAGCCCTCTCCTTTCCCTCTCCCCAAGCCAGTTTCCTTTTTAGGCTTTCTTCACAGGGCCTCTTTCCTCCTTCCCTGTTATTTACAAATTAACAAAGTAAAAAGCAACCCTAATAGTATTGAGCAAAGAAAACAGGAAGGAAGATCATTTAAAGGAAATCTTTATAATAGTCTTATTTAGCATCCTGTAAATGCATTTTTATAACTCTTTTGACACTTCTCCAAATTCTTCTCGTTTTTAGAGAGCAATGTCCCAAACTGGACATAAAAGAAGAAATGTTTAGTAGAACAGTCAGTGTCTATCTTCCTAAAGGCAAAGGGCAGGTGTCCCAGACCCCCTCCCCTTCAATCACTCATTAACCTTCATGTCTGGCACGTGAGGCTGGCTGCAGCTGGGAGTTTAGCTGGGACTGTCATCTGGGGCACCTACACGTGGCCTCTCCAGGTAGTCTGGGCTTCCTCACAACCTGGTGGCTGGATTCCAAGGGCCCCAGAAGAGAGGGGCAGTTCACTGAAGGCTGTGTCATCTTTCTAACCTAGCCTTGGGAATCATGCAGTGTCACTTCCACAAGATCCTGCTAAGGCAGTCACAAGGGCCCAGTCAGTCCAAGGGGATGGGAAGGAGACTCCATCTTTTGATGGAAAAGTGGCAAGATTCTGGAAGAGCACGAGGATGAGAAACATTGTTGCAGCCGTTTTGGAAAATACATATGAGAGCCAGCAACAAGTAATTTTAATTTTAGTAAAACACAATAATTGTATCAAAATCCTAAAATATTTGTGAAATAATTAAAGACAGGCAAGATCTTCACATGAAAACAGGGGATTTAGGCTCCCAAAGAACAAACAAAATCAAAGGACTTATGCTACCTAATTTCAAGACTTACTGTAGTACTAATACTAATCAAGAGAGTATGATGTAGTATGAAGAGGCAGATCAATGAAGCAGAATAGCATCCAGAAACAGATATATGCACATATGGTTAAATAAATTTAACAAGGCACTAAAGCAATTCTGTAGAGAAAATAGAATCTTTTCCATAAATAGTGCATGTGGAAAAAAATAAACGTTGACCCCTTAACCGTACACGGTAATGAAATCAAAGTGGATCATAGTATTCAATGTAAAAAACCAAGCATCTCCAGCTTCTAGAAGAAAACATAGAAGATATTGCTTATGCAGGAATTAGAAAGCACTAAAAAACTTAGAAACATTATCAAATAAAACTTCTGCTCATCAAAAGGCCCTAGGAGAAAACATCCACAATGCATACATCTAACGAGACCTTGTATGTAGCTAGACTATATAAATACCTCCTACAACTCAAAACTAAAAAGACAAATCCAATTTGTTAAATCATCAGGAAAATTAAAATAACATTCTACTACAGACCCACCAGGATGTCAAAAAAAAAAGAACAACTCATTGTAGAGGATGGTGAACATACTCAGACATTGCTAGAGGGAGTGTAAAATGTTACAACAAATTTGAAAACTGGTAGTTTCCAATAAAGTTAAATGTACACCTTCCCAGTATAAACCAGAAATTCCACTTCTGGGTATTTATCCAACAGAAACAAAAACAGTAACTCAGAAGATATCTGTACCCCCATAGTCATTGCAGCATTATTTACAATAACCAAGACATGGAAGCAACCCAAGTGTCCGTTGATAGGTGAATGGATAAAGTATATATATAATGGAATATTATTCTGCCACAAAAAAAGAGGGAAATCTTGCTATTTGTGATGACATGGGTGGTCCTTGAGGGTGTATGCCAAATGAAATGAGTCCAACAGAGAAAGACCATGTGATCGCATATGGAATCTAAAACAAGCTCATAGACAAAGAAAACAGATTGGTGGTTGGGGGTTGGATGGGAGAAATGGAAGAAAGGAGTGAAAGGGATCAAAAATGACAAAATTCCAATCACAAAATAAGTAGGCCATGGGGGTGTAATGTCCAACACTGTAACTATAGTTACTAATACTGTATTGTATATTTGAAAGTTGCTAAGAGATCTTAAAGTTCTTACCTTAAAAAAAATTGTAACTGTGTGGTAATGGATGTTAACTAATTATGATCATTTGACAATGTATACACATACAGAATCATTATGTTGTAGGCCT